TCCAATGTTTAGTAATACTGATTCTACATGTGTGTGACTTCTGAGTGGTATCGTCCTGGTAGAGTACCAATATGGAGGTTCGGTAGGGCTACAGCAGGCGACTACGTTACTGGAGAACGAATAACTTGACTAATTAACTGGAACACGGCAGACCAAAAAGGTGCTAAATGGGGACCTTCCCATTGGTTGTGTATTAGGGAGCCTGAGGAGCCACATTGTCTCCAGCACTGAGTCCACTGACACCAATGATGGGGGTTATTATTGAGTCCACTGACACCAATGATGGGGGTTATTATTGAGTCCACTAATGCCAATGATGGGGTTATTATTGAGTTGACATCAATGATTTATTAAGTCCTACTGACACCAATGATGGGGGTTATTATTGAGTCCACTGACACCAATGATGGGGGTTATTATTGAGTCCACTGACACCAATGATGGGGGTTATTATTGAGTCCTCTGACGCCAATGATGGGGGTTATTATTAAGTCTACTGACACCAATGATGGGGGTTATTATTGAGTCCTCTGACGCCAATGTTGGGGGTTATTATTGAGTCTACTGACACCAATGATGGGGATTATTATTGAGTCCTCTGACGCCAATGATGGGGGTTATTAAGTCCTCTGACGCCAATGATGGGGATTATTATTGAGTCCTCTGACACCAATGATGGGGGTTATTATTGAGTCCTCTGACGCCAATGATGGGGGTTATTATTGAGTCCTCTGACGCCAATGATGGGGGTTATTATTGAGTCCACTGACACCAAGGATGGGGATTATTATTGAGTCCACTGACACCAAGGATGGGGATTATTATTGAGTCCACTGACACCAATGATGGGGATTATTATTATTGCATCCACTGACATCAATAATGGGGGTTATTGTTGGATCCACTGACACAAAATGATGGGGGTTTATTGTTGGATCCACTGACACAAATGATGGGGGTTATTGTTGGATCCACTGACACCAATGATGGGGGTTATTGTTTTGTCATCTGATATCAAACCAGGGAAAGCAAAATATAAGCAGATTGAACTGTGAAGTGGAACTGCACCTTTGGTTATACCTCGATGAAAGCATTGGGGGGGGGGGGGGTTTGAAGGTCTAGTAGGAAACAGATATTTCACTGCAATTGTAGGAAAACAACATTTTCATAAATAAAAAATATGAATTTTGCAGCCATCAGACAGCAGTACTATGCATAGTCTGCGGAGGGGATCCCGGCTCCCTCGTTCTTGTATTTGTTGAACTGCTTTTCCCCAGTCTGCACAGAGCCGAGGTCACATGACAGACATCTCCCGCAGTCCCCCAGAGATCTGCATGAGGTACAATTCAGTTCCTTTCTGATTCCTTTGTCATTCATTTTGTTTCTTCATCTTCGTTGTTACAATAATTTGTTCTCAGAATTCATTTCTTCTATTCAGATTTGTTTCCTAAATTCGTTATTTTCAAATCGATTCGAAATTTGAATTTCAGAAGACGGCTATATTCTTTCTATTCTGTTCTATTCTATTCAAACCTATGTTTTTTTTTTTTTTTTCCTTTTCTTTTCTATTCCTTTCTATTCTAATCTATTCTTTTCTATTCAAATTTATTCTATTCCAAATTCAAATTTATTCTATTCCAAATTCTAATTTCGGAAGATGGTTATAGTCTTTCTAGTCTATTTTTTTTTTTTTTCTATTTTATTCTATTCTATCAATCAGTAGGAATCACTTTTATACCTTACTGTATTCATTGCAATATGTTTCCATTTCAAATTAATTTTCGGATTCAAAATCATCTTTCGAATTCAGATTATTCATTGAGTTATCGTTTATTTAGAATTCATCGAAATTCGTTACTATTGGGATTTGGATACCTCCGGATCCCAGAACGACGAAAATGTCATCCGAATTTCGATTCGAACGTGTCTAGTTTTAGCTGTGGTGATGCACTGGGGAACAAAGTGGAATGAAGCCAGGCTGGGATATCATAGCCCTGGGATACAATATACCGCAGGTCATGTGATTGTCATGGACAGACTCTTCCCACTTAGAACTTCGTTCTCCCAAACATTTATCAATATTGACAGAACAAAAGCCGACAACAATCTGCCTCAAATTCTTCCTGAATCAAGATTTTTTTTTCTCTCTTTATTTTTTTTTTGCTCAACAACAGGGGGCACGGGTTCATTTTGGGTGGATGGATTGTTCAATTAACCACTCGAGGACCAGCATGTTAATCCCCATTTTTGTCCAGTTTTCAGCTCTGTGATCCATTGACTGACAGTTACTCCGTCATGAAACACTGCACCCAAATGAACGCTATATATTTTTATTGTTTTTTTAAATGATAGAACTTACTGTTTACTAATTTTTTTTATTTTTTTACTATATAAAAAAATAAAATATAAACACAAAAAAAATTAAACAAAATAGCTATTATTCTCACTTTCTGTATAAAACAAAGCAAATAACTACCCCCCCTTCCAGTTTTGCAGAATAGAAACTGATTGGTCACAGCATCACACGGTACAGAGCCACTCGAACTGCTCTGTATGTTTATTCAGTGCATTCAAATTGTGGTGCTAGAGAGTGCGCAAAGGGCGCCTAAAAAGGAGAGGCCATTTTAAAACAGCCTCCGCGCCCGTTTGGCTGCGCCATCCCGCCATTTATGTACAACGACTTGACAGCAAGTGGTTAAAGTGTATGTAAAGCCAACATTTTTTTATTACGTTTTGGGTAGAGTGAGTGACGAAGGGTTAGGGCCTCTGACAAGTTTTCATCTTTCAGTGGGGACATCTGATAGGGCAGGGGTAGGCAACCTGCGGCTCTCCAGCTGTTGCAGGACTACAAGTTCCATCATGCCTCTGCAAGTCATAGCTGTAACTGTCAGTTTTGTAATGTTGCAATGCCTCATGGGAAATTTAGTTCCACAACAGCTAGAGAGCCGCAGGTTGCCTACCCCTGTGATAGGGTGACAAGAGGGGATATCTTTGGGTCAGGAAGTAAAATAAATAAATAAATAAATAAAGAGGGTCCTAACCAATCCCTACTCCACCCAAAACAAACAAATTAAGGCTTTACATACACTTTATAATGAATGACTGTGGATTAGAGTAAAATACGTGGTTGTTTGTTTGGGATTTTTTTTTTTTAATCTTTTTTTGTTGTGTTTTTGTTTTTTTTTTTTGTTTGTTTTGTTTTTTTCCCTTTTTTAATTTATAGAGCAGGAAAAAGCACAATATTCTTTATATGCTTTTTATTAGAAATAAAACACATTCATTTGTGCTCAGAAAACTGTACAAAAAAACTGACAAACACAGATCGGAAAAAAAAAAATAAAAATAAAATAAAAAGTAACAGGGGTAATTGGGCAAAGGAAACAAAATAAAACAAAACAAACAAAAAAAATTAACAGTTATTAAACACATAGTTATTACATAACATTGCTAATGTTTTGTTTTTTTTTGGGGGGGGGGGGGATTTGATGATCTGGACAATTTGAGTGTTAAAAAAATTAAAACACAGTAAAAAGATATTTATATGGTAAAATTCATTATGTGTAATTATAATAATTACAATATCATACAACACGGCACTTGATGCCTTGTGCTTTCTCTTCATATATATAATCTAAAATCTGACAATTACATCACAGTTTTAAGTAATCTTTTTTTTTTTTCTCCTTTATTTACTATTTTGGATATTTTTTTTTTTTAAATCATTTAAACATTAATAGATTTATTTATTATACAGGTCATGACAAGATAAATGTCATTTTTTTTTCCAAAAATAAAAATAACACTGGAGCCAAAATAAAAAAAAAAAAAAATGCTTGCATATCAAGCAACTTGCTTTAAGGTTAAGTGATGCATCTTTTCATTTTCCATCGACGCAGCAGAAGTTGTCGGGACACTTGGATTCCACCTCTTGGACATCTATCGAAGAAGCGGTCAAGTTGCTGTGGACTCCTAAACAACAACAGCTACCAGGCCACCTCGTCCTTCGGAGGTCTCCGTCGAATGGAAAGTTTCTCGAAAAGGAGAAGAGCAAAGAAACAAGTGCTCTAAAGTTTGGGAACACTTTATTGGGTCTCCATAGCTTTTTTTTTTTTTTTTTTTTTTCTTTTTTTAATGCAGTCCGTCAAGTCCCACAAGCCATTGTTACAAAACTATATATATATTAACGTTTTTGCTTAGAACAATCTTATCGTAACAAAAAAAAAAAATCATCTGCTTGACCTAGCAGAGGGTGAAGATTGGTCGATCAAAAGGAATTCTTATGAAGTTCTCTTTATAACAGTCAAAGACTTCCGTTCAACGTATAATCTTCACTTGGTCTAGGATTAAAGCCTCGCTCTGCTGGGTTGAATTATTATTATTTTTTTTATTTATTTATTTTTTTTTATTTGGTTCTATCTACTCAGACTAGTCAAGGATAACCGGGACCCAGTTTTCAGGGCCAGCTCTAGCGGGTTTTTTTTTTTTTTTTGTGTGGTTGAAACCTAAACATACTTCATGGAGATAGTCAAGCAAGGTATTACATCACTGAAGATTTAGGTCTGGTTCTAGAATAGCCGGCCCCGAGAGCTTTTATATAATACACCAAAGTACTATATGCCTGTTAATTGCTATCGGAAGCTATTAAGCGTCTTTTGTCTAAGAAAGATTTTTTTTTTTTTTTTGAATAATTGCCAGCCAACCCTCATGGATTCCTCAGTGTCACCTCCGCTTGAAGGCCGATGACTCTTTCGAAGTTGATCTCCGTCCACTTTGCCGCCTCATCTGGCCGCTCAGCCAATACGTCGGTTTTTTGTTTTTGTTTCCTGCCACACCCGGGAGAGAGCACGTTGTGTCTACCTCTAAGAGCCTAACGGAACATCCCTTCTGAGAACAATGCAAAAAAAAGTACTTTAACAAGGTTTCAAAAGAAACCAAACATCTCTCCGTTTTATATGGAACCATATTCTTTAAAAATAAAAAGAAGTCTTTTTTCTTACGCTTCAGACCTCAGTCTGAAGATCAATTATGTCTTGCCCCACCAGAGGTATCGTTGCCCCAGTTTTCTCCCACTCCACAGTCTTTAGTTCTAAGGGAGAAGGTGACACTGGCTCCATGTCCTTTTTAACCCAAGATGGTGGAGACTGAATCTTCCTCATTCCTTCCCAAGACCTCTTGCTGGGTGTCTGCTGTTTCTCCATCTGTGGAAGGATAACAGAAATTTCCACATTAGAGATAGATAGATGGATGATAGATAATAGATAGATAGATAGATAGATAGATAGATAGATAGATAGATAGATAGATAGATAATAGATAGATAGATAGATAGATAGATAGATAGATAGATAGATAGATAGATAAGATAGATAGATAGATAGATAGATAGATAGATAGATAGATAGATAGATAGATAATAGATAGATAGATAGATAGATAGATAGATAATAGATAGATAGATAGATAGATAGATAGAAAAATAAAGAATAGATAGATAGATAGATAGATAGATAGATAGATAATAGATAGATAGATAGATAGATAATAGATAGATAGATAGATATAGAGAGATAGATAGATAGATAGATAGATAATAGATAGATAGATAGATAGATAGATAGATAAAAATAGATAGATAGATAGATAGATAGATAGATAGATAGATAGATAGATAATAGATAGATAGATAGATAGATAGATAGATAGATAGATAGATAGATAGATAGATAGATAGATAGATAGATAGATAGATAGATAGATAGATAGATAGATAGATAGATAGATAGATAGATAGATAGATAGATAGATAGATAGATAGATAGATAGATAGATAGATAGATAGATGATAGATAGATAGATAGATAGATAGATAGATAGATAGATAGATAGATAGATAGATAGATAGATAGATAATAGATAGATAGATAGATAGATAAGATAGATAGATAGATAGATAGATAGATAATAGATAGATAGATAGATAGATAGATAGATAGATAGATAGATAGATAGATAGATAGATAGATAATAGATAGATAGATAGATAGATAGATAGATAGATAGATAGATAGATAATAGATAGATAGATAGATAGATAGATAGATAGAGATAGATAGATAGATAGATAGATAGATAGATAGATAGATAGATAGATAGATAGATAATAGATAGATAGATAGATAGATAATAGATAGATAGATAGATAGATAGATAGATAATAGATAGATAGATAGATAGATAGATAGATAGATAGATAGATAGATAGATAGATAATAGATAGATAGATAGATAGATAGATAGATAGATAGATAGATAGATAGATAGATAGATAGATAGATAGATAGATAGATAGATAGATAGATAGATAGATAGATAGATAGATAGATAGATAATAGATAGATAGATAGATAGATAGATAGATAATAGATAGATGATAGATAGATAGATAGATAGATAGATAGATAGATAGATAGATAATAGATAGATAATAGATAGATAGATAGATAGATAGATAGATAGATAGATAGATAGATAATAGATAGATGATAGATAGATGATAGATAGATAGATAGATAGATAGATAGATAGATAGATAGATAGATAGATAGATAGATAGATAGAGATAGATAATAGATAGATAGATAGATAGATAGATAGATAGATAGATAGATAGATAGATAGATAGATAGATAGATAGATAGATAGATAGATAGATAGATAATAGATAGATAGATAGATAGATAGATAGATAGATAGATAGATAGATAGATAATAGATAGATAGATAATAGATAGATAGATAATAGATAGATAGATAGATAGATAGATAGATAGATAGATAGATAGATAGATAGATAGATAATAGATAGATAATAGATAGATAGATAGATAGATAGATAGATAGATAGATAGATAGATAGATAGATAGATAATAGATAGATAATTAGATAGATAATAGATAGATAATAGATAGATAGATAATAGATAGATAGATAGATAGAGATAGATAGATAGATAGATAGATATTAAAGGCAAACGTTTGTGGAATATTACCATCACACCCACCCATATGGCCAGAAATGGTGACATGTTATTGAGTTCATATTTTTCCAGTGAAGATACTGTCAATGCTGAATCATACAAAGACATTGTAGACAATGGTTCTCTAGTGACCTAGTGACAACAGTGTAGGTAAAGGCCCTTTAGTGTTCCAACATAACCCCTATGCACAAAGCCAGCTCCATAAAGACATGGATGACCAGTTTGGTGTGGAGGAACTCAAGTGTCCTGTACAGAGCCCTGAAGTTAACTCTACTGAACACCTTTGGGATGAGGTGGAATGCTGATCGTGAACGAGTCTTTTCATCCGACTTCTGTACCCAACCTCAACCTACTGAACACCTTTGGGATGAGCTGGAATGCTGATCGTGAACGAGGTCTTTTCATCCGACTTCTGTACCCAACCTCAACCTACTGAACACCTTTGGGATAAACTGGAACGCCAATACTGATCCAGGTGTTCTCATCCAACATCAGTACCTGACCTTACAAATGGGCAAAAAGTCCCATAGTCACTCCAGAAATCTTGTGGAAAGTCTTCCCTGAAAGGTGGAGGAAGGTATAGCTGAAAGGGGGGGGGGGGGGGGGTAACTGTGTATTAATGGTCATGGGTGAACTCTAATATTGGCAATGGTTTTTTGGAATGAGATGACCAGCTCTTTACAGACATGGTTTTGACCAGTTTGGTGTGGAGGAAATCGAGTGACCTGCACAGAACCCTGAAGTTAACTCTACTGAACACCTTTGGGATGAGCTGGAATGCTGATCGAGAACGAGGTCTTTTCATCCAACATCTGTACCCAAATTCAACCCACTGAACACTTTTAGGATGAGCTGGAATGCTGATCGTGAACGAGGTCTTTTTATTCACCATCTATACCCAACCTCAACCTACTGAACACTTTTGGGATGAGCTGGAATGCTGATTGTGAAAGAGGTCTTTTTATCCAACATCTGTACCCAACCTCAACCTACTGAACACCTTTGGGATGAGCTGGAATGCTGATCGTGAACGAGGTCTTTTCATCCAACATCTGTACCCAACCTCAACCTACTGAACACCTTTGGGATGAACTGGAACGCCAATACTGATCCAGGTGTTCTGATCAGTACCTGACCTTACAAATGGGCACAAAGTCCCATAGACACTCTCAGAATTCTCTTGTGCAAAGTCTCCCCTGAAAGGTGGGAGGAAGGTATAGCTGAGAGGGGGAGTAACTGTGTATTAATGGCCATGGGAGAACTCTATAATAATGGCAATGGTTTTTGGAATGAGATGTCCAGCTCTTTACAGACATGGTTTTGATCAGTTTGGTGAAGAGGACATCGAGTGACCTGCACAGAACCCTGAAGTTAACTCTACTGAACACATTGGGGTGAGCTGGAATGCTGATTGTGAACAAGGTCTTTTCATGCAACATCTGTACCCAACCTCAACCTACTGAACACCTTTGGGATGAGCTGGAATGATGATCGTGAACGAGTTCTTTTCATCCAACATCTGTACCCAACTCAACCTACTGAACACTTTTAGGATGAGCTGGAATGCTGATTGTGAACAAGGTCTTTTCATGAAACATCTGTACCCAACCTCAACCTACTGAACACTTTTGGAATGAGCTGGAATGCTGATCGTGAACGAGGTCTTTTCATCCAACATCTGTACCCAACCTCAACCTACTGAATGAAACATCTGTCAACCTACTGAACTTTTGGAATGAGCTGGAATGCTGATCGTGAACAAGGTTTTTTCATGCAACATCTGTACCCAACCTCATTCTACTAAACACCTTTGGAATGAACTGGAACGCCAATAGTGATCCAGGTGTTCTTATCCAACATCAGTACCTGACCTCACAAATGGGCAAAAAAGTCCCACAGACACTCTCAGAAATCTTGTGGAAAGTCTCCCCAGAAAGGTGGAGGAAGTTATAGCTGAAAGGGGGGGTAACTGTGTATTAACAGCCATGGGAGAATGCTATAATAAAGGCAATGGATTTTGGAATGAGATGACCATGCTCTTTACAGACATGGTTTTTACCAGTTTGATGTGGAGGAACTCAAAGTCCTGTACAGAGCCCTGACCTCAACCCTACTGAACACCTTAGGGATGAATTGGAACGCCAATGGTGAGTCAGGTCTTCTCATCCAACATCAGTACCTGACTTCAGAATTGAGCACTGGTTTCCTATAGACACCCTCCAGAATTGTATGGAAGACCTTCACAGAAGAGTAGAGGATGTTATAGCCACAAAGGAGAGTAACTGCATATTAGTGACCATGGGTTTTTGGAATGTGATGTCCAGCTCCATAAAGACATGGATGACCAATTGGGTTTGAAGTGTCCTGAACAGAGCTCTGACCTCAACCTACTACACATCCTTGGGATAAATTGGAACGCCAATGGTGAGATGGGTCTTTTCATCCAACAACAAGTTTTCCCCGAACAGTGGAGACTATTATAGCTGTAAAAGGGGGCAGCATTAATGTCCATGGTTTTGGAAGCAAAATGGGGCTAATTGCATATTGACACCCAAGGCTTGTGATTGGGATGCCCAACAAATTTTGTATGAGCAGTCAGGTGTCCACAAATATTTGGCCATAGGTTTTCGATGATAAACAAAGTAGGCTTTTCTGTTCTCCTGCTCTCATATTCCAAAAATACCAAACCAAAGGACTAGCCAAGCATGCATCTAGTCAACTCCAAAAGATCTGGGTGTTCATCATCAAAGCTGAACATTTGAATTCTTCGGGAAGCAGAGGAAGGATATCAGCATACAAATAAATGCAGTTCTAGATGTTCCAATTATATCTTTCCATTGGCCAAGCAGAACACTTAGAAATAAAGAGAAATGACGGCATAAAAAGGCCAAGCGATCCTTCCTGTCCCCCTCCCCCCCCCCCCTTTTTTTTTTAGGTTTTAAACTAAATAATCTAATTTTACCCATGTGTCCACCTTTATACCCATATTATATATTGTAGGAAGATTAAACTCTACAGTCAGCTAGCTTTGCCCTTCAAGTGAAAACTTCTGGGAGAAGAATATTTCCCAGAATCTGAGAACGTCTCTACATGCTGGATTTTGGCCAGTTGTTGTGGACTTTGGAAGGCTGCAAACATTTTCTCTACAGATATTTACAGGTCATGCTGCGCAGAAATGCATTGATAGTTGTTGGTGTCCAACCAGGGTAGCAGCATCCTTGCATTTCGGAATATTGTAGCAATGTTTGTGCTAATTTCTCATTTCACGGACTAATTAACATTCAGAAAAAACGATACGACCCGTCAACCCTTTCCTCACCAGAGGTCATTGATGCCCATATGCCCAAGTCAAGTTCTGCGGCATCAGCATGTGTCAGGTAAGGGTAGCTCTGTTGCTAATTTGCATACCGAGATAATTGTTATATTGTTATATATTTTAAGGACATATAGGACTTTTATTTTGTACGTTGTTTTTAAAAAAAATATGCTTTGTTTAATTTTATGATAAGCTGTAAATGTACAAAAAACAGTCAGTGTTTGCTAAATGTATATTTTTTTACATTTTGTAACTGTATCTCACAATTACAGAATTAAAGCTAAAGTTCCACCCCCAAAAGAAAAAAATGCTGTAGCTGCTGATTTTTAATATTAGAGCACTTACCTCTCCGGTGGTTGCACCAATGTCCTCACCCAGAGCCGATTCTTTAATCGGCTGTTGTTGGGTGCTGGTGCCGCCATCTTGACTAAGGGAAACTTATGGACTAAGGGAAACTGGCATTGAAGCCCCCCCCCCCCCCCAAAAAAAAAATGCTGTAGCTGCTGATTTTTAATATCAGAGCACTTTCCTGACCACGGGTTCAGCAATGTCCTCACCCAGAGCGATTCTTCAATCGGCTGTTGGGTGCTGGTGCGCTGCCATCTTAACTAAGGGAAACGTAGGGACTAAGGGAAACCGGCATTGAAGCCCCCCCCAAAAAAAAAAATGCTGTAGCTGCTGATTTTTAATATTAGGGCATTTACCTGTCCTGGGGGCTCAGCAGTATCCTCACCCAGAGCCGATTCTTTATTCAGTTGTTGGGTGCTGGGGCCGCCATCTTGACTAAGGGAAACTTAGAGACTAAGGGAAACCAGCAGTGAAGCCCTCCTCCCCCCCAAAAAAAAATGCTGTAGCTGCTGATTTTTAATAGTAGGGCAGTTACCTGTCTGGGGGTTCAGCAGTGTCCTCACCCAGAGCCAATTCTTCAATTGGCTGTTGGGTGCTGGCGCCACCATCTTGACTAAGGGAAACTTAGGGACTAAGGGAAACCGGCAGTGAAGCCTTGCAGCTTCACAGCCGGTTTCCTACTGCACATGCGCAAAGTGCGCTGCTCTTTGTGAATGGACTGTGGGGGGGGGGGGGGGGGGTGAACTTCCCTCTCAGTTTGCCGCAATGAACTGAGCCAGAAGTGGGAGAGGGTTCCTGTCAAAACCAGGAACCCACGCCCCTCCCAAAAGGTGCCCGTCCCAGAAAGCGCACCAAACGTGCAGGATAAAAATAGAAGTGCACTTCCCTGGTTTGACGTTGAGGGCCACATCAAAGGGCTTTGAGGGCCACAGGTTGAGCACCCCTGTCCTACAGCAGCATGAAAAAAAAAAAAGGGCAGAATCCCAGAAAAAAAAAAAAAAAAAAACATTGTGTAAACTTTGTCTGGTATAGATTTCAAGGGGTGCTTCAAGGAACAAAAAAAAAATGATGAGGTACCCCAGGAAATCCATACCAGATCTAAGTTAGCATGCAGCCTGGTTGGCCAGGAAAGGAGGTCCAAGCTTGCTGAACCATACCAGGCCGCATGCCCTCAGCATGAAATGGGGGTGATTCTGAGCGCTCAAACAGCCATAGTTTGGTCTGAACCCAGGTTCATCCCTAATCAGGACCCTTTCTGATTGGTTCCCAATTATCAGTGGCCACCTAAGCTGTCAGTGGGTGTAGGATAATGTATTCAGCCCTTTACTGACTATACATTTACATCCCTCTCAGCCCTCAAAGCTTGCAATCGGAGGTCCTCATCACACATCTATGAGGGCAATACAAACATCAGCATATTATCCTACCAACATGTCTTTTGGACAAACGCAGGTAGTGTCCCATCTGGGAGTTGGACCAAGGACCTCAGTGCTGCAAGGGGGGCCAACCATGAAGTCACAGCGCTCTGCGCTTACAGTACATACAGACTGCGGCTGGAAAGGGGTTAAGGAAGGTAATAAGGGACCTTCTCATGGTAGCCCACCTTGCTCTCCGCTGTTGGAGACTCCTTATCCTTCTCCGCATGCTGAAGCTTCCGATTTAAGTCCTGGAACATGTCCTGGTGGCGTTTCCTGGTGTGCATAATTTTCTGCAGGAAAAAAGGATTTTTAGGATTTGTTTTTCACTATTATATAAAAACACAGGCTACCTGGTATAAACAGGTCTGCTGTTAGAAATCATGGGGGGGGGTCCAATATGGCCTACTAGACAGGGCCCCCATCCCTCAGCCTGGGTTGGGGGGTGCAGGTGTATGACTCTGAACACAGCCCCAGCCCTATGAACAAATCATTCATTCACGTGGCCAGAGCACCTGTGTGAATGAACCCTTAATTATGTTTTTTTTTAAATTACTTTATTATTTTTACATGTTTTTTTTTTTTTTAAAAGCCCTGTGGGGGGAGAGGGACGCTTTGGTGAAACATCAGGGGTCAGGGGTAAAAGACTCCGGATGTCCCACTTTTGAGACAGAAATCGCTCTGCACAAGCTCTCTGTTCATTCTCAGACACAGTTTACTATGGTTCCGTTATAAATGAACACAGGAACGATCGGTGATCACTCACTGTGTTCATTCATTTGCTCTCCATCCTGAAACCATTCCTCCTGTGTACACACAGTAATTGAAAGCTGGCGGGAGGGAGAGGAGGAGAAGCCAAAAGTGCTGCCAAGAAGAAGAACACGGGGGGGAGGGGGGGGTTCGACCTGCGGGAGAAAAGGTACCCTGGAAAGGAGAGGTGGGTGATCAGCTCAGCAGGGGCCCAATCCCTGAAATGACCCCCCCTGTGGCCCCTTACAGCAGCTGACAGCTGGCGGGAGGGAGAGGAAGAGAAGCCAAAAGTGCTACCAAGAAGGAGAACAAGGGGGGGGGGGGTTTGGACCTGCGGGCAAAAGGAATCCTGGAAACGGGAGGCAGGTGATCAGCGCAGCAGGGGCCCAATCCCTGAAATGACCCCCCTGTGGCCCCTTGCAGCAGCTGACAGCTGGTGGGAGGGAGAGGAGGAGAAGCTTAAAGTGCTGCCAAGAAGGGGAACACGGGGGTGTGGAGTTGGACCTGCAGGGGGAAAGGGATCCTGGAAACGAGAGATGTGATCAGCATGGCGGGGGCCCAATCCCTGAACTGACCCCCCTTGTGGCCCCTTACAGCAGCTGACAACAGGGGGGAGGGAGAGGAGGAGAAGCTTAAAGTGCTGCCAAGAAGGGGAACACGGGGGTGTGGAGTTGGACCTGCAGGGGGAAAGGGATCCTGGAAACGAGAGATGTGATCAGCATGGTGGGGCCCCAATCCCTGAACTGACCCCCCTTGTGGCCCCTTGCAGCAGCTGACAGCAGGTGGGAGGGAGAGGAGGAGAAGCCAGCTACGTTGCATTGAGGGAACTGCCTGTACCATGGGGGGCCCGTGCCGGAGAGCCTATGCTGCCCCCTTATTGGCTATAAATATTTCCAGAATTCCGCTTCAGCGTTTTTCTTCCTCTGCTTCCTGCATGGCCAACCACATTCACACTCCCACGGCGGGCTCGTGTCTGATTGGTGGCTGCGACAGACTTTGAGACATTTTCCATACTAAAAGCTTGATGGAAAGAAGAGTCAGCAGTGGGTGTGGCTGGGAATCTCTCTCCTCTGAAGCCGGGATTCCCAGATCACCCAATTGCTAATAAAAGGGGGATTTTTTTTTGAGGGGGTGCCGCTCCCCCGAAGAAGGGACCTGCTGAGGCACTGCCGAGGAGGGTGCACCCTGCTGGAGGTTTTATTTATTTATTATTTATTTATTTCAGGTACTTATATAGCGCTGTCAATTTACGCATCACTTTTCCATATATATTGTACATTCACATCAGTCCCCGCCCCTGAGGAGCGTACAATCTAAGGTCCCTAACTCACATTCATACATACACATACTATGGACAATTTACCTACCAGCATGTCTTTGGAGTGTGGGAGGAAACTGGGTACCTGGAGAAACCACGGAGGAAACCCACACAGGCACAGGGAGATGCCCATGCATAACTCCAAGGCAGGTTGTGCCGTGGCTGAGGTTCGAACCAACATGACCCGCAGTGATTTTGCCAGACGGAAGTGCTAACCACTCAGCCGCTGTGCCGCCCATGTTTTGGGGTTTTGCGTGGAATGGGTCAGATTTGGCTTTTAAGTTTCTCCACTTTTTTGTGTCACCGATACAAACCAAAAAAACAAACATGAGAATGCCGAAACATCTGTCATGGCAGCAATTTTCTGGGTGAAGTGGGGCGTTATCTGACAGAAATGGGGAGGGGGGGGGGGCAAGATTTTTGGCCGTGACTGTATTTGCCATACAGCTGGGCAATTGTGGAACTTTAGACACGGACCAATAAGAATAGAGAATACTTTACAGGTTTTGTAAATGAATAAAAAAGAAACCAGACTAACCTCAAAATCTAGTTCCGCATACCGCGATTTTCTTCTCTGTAAATACAAACAAAAGGCAGATACATAAGACCCGCCCCTCATCAGGACAGAGAACGCGATTTCATCGAATATCGATAATTACAAATGGCTACAAAAACATCACAGAGACAATCCAAATGTTACAGATCCGAGGTGCTATCATGGGGCCGCCTTGTTTTCTGGCCACGCCCTGTTTATTAGGTTTTTTTTGGGGGGGGGTTCTTTTTTTCCCTTTGCTTGTTTTTTCTTTCTTGATTTTGGTTTATTTTGATATAATTTGGATAATAAAATTGTTGGAATTGAATATTTGTAAATAATATATGTAAATACTTGGCGCCTTAAAGGTTACTGCAAAAAATGATTCCCAAATATTTCAAGCAAGAAAAAAAAAGTTCATTGATTATTTTTTTTGCAACTGAGACTACAGAGCATGGCAACCACAGTCAGTGATGGCGGGTGCAATGCCAGGCTCCTGCAGACCATTCCTCCAGCTCTCTCTCTGTACAGGGGTACGGGGCATTCCATTGAAGAGATGGAGGAAGTGTCAATGGAGGGCGGTAATCACCGCAACTGTCTTCCATTGAGAAGCAAATCTTTCTGCCACGGTGGCAGATGGGACTTGTAGTTCATGAGTTCACAGATGACAGCTGCCATGGGCAAGAGGAACCCCTACACACTGTCAGGAGGGGGCATGGTGTGGGGGGGGATCAGATTTTAGCTGTGTTACACCCTATATTTGTTTCTCAGAGAATAACTGAAGGTACCCCCTCCGCTCTCGGAGTCACCCCTCGTCTTTGCGCCCCACCCACCTCTGAGAGCAGTCCCTTTGGGTCCATCCCCCACCCACCATAAAGTACCACCACTATTAAATAATACAGAGCCAAGTATTATCTTATAAGTCATTTGTATAGAATGTTAATTAACAACAAGAAAAGCAGTAAAATAGACCCCCTGCAGCCATGAATAATAGACCTTCCCCCAGCAACAATAAACCCCCTATGCCAACCCCCCTAGCAACAATAGATCCAACCCAGGAACAATAGACTCCCTCAGCAATAATAGATTGCAAACCCCATTTCATGCTACAATGTTCTGGTGGGTATAAAACATTGTGCAGGTACACCATACATAGGGGGTGAATATACAGTATACAGCCAAAAGTACTGTCCCCGCCCTCCAAATAATTGGATTCAGGTGTGCCAATCCCCTCCATATCATGTGATTCAGGTGTTCCAATCCCCTCCATATCATGTGATTCAGGTGTTCCAATCCCCTCCCAATCATGTGATTCAGGTGTTCCAATCCCCTCCATATCATGTGATTCAGGTGTTCCAATCCCCTCCCAATCATGTGATTCAGGTGTTCCAATCCCCTCCATATCATGTGATTCAGGTGTTTCAATCCCCTCCATATCATGTGATTCAGGTGTTCAAATCCCCTCCATATCATGTGATTCAGGTGTTCCAATCCCCTCCATATCATGTGATTCAGGTGTCTATGGGAAGGTTGGACCATTCTTCCAGAAGCACATTTGTCAGGTCAGGCACTGATGTCGGGGGAGGAGGCCTGGCTCTCATTCTCCACTCTAACTCATCCCAAAGGTGTTCTATGGGGTTGAGGTCAGGACTCTGTGCAGGGGCCAACTCAATATTGAACCCTACGGACTAAGACTGGGGGGCCATTAAAGGGCATGTGTGTGGAAAGGGCGGGGCCAACTCAATTTTGAACCCTACGGACTAAGACTGGGGGGCCATTAAAGGGCATGTGTGTGGAAAGGGCGGGGCCAACTCAATTTTGAACCCTACGGACTAAGACTGGGGGGCCATTAAAGGTCGTGCGTGGAAAAGGGCGGGGCCAACTCAATATTGAACCCTACGGACTAAGACTGGGGGGCCATTAAAGGTCATGTGCGTGGAAAGGGCGGGGCCAACTCAATATTGAACCCTACAGACTAAGACTGGGAGGCCATTAAAGGTCATGTGCTTCTTCAGTCCTTGTTCAGAGTTAAAACATTCCTACATATCAGAAACACGTGAATTACCATAAATCTTACTAATGGATATATAACATTACTAAGTGCTTATATGCTAATGTGAGGCTGTTTATATAATAAGAGGTTTTCTTTGCTAAAATAACTTTGCAGAAACACGGCGAACAGATGGCTACTCTTGGGATAGTTGAAATGTCTTTGGTGGAACATGGAGACGGTTAGAGTTCAGTGAGGGATTTGAAAGTCTGGAGGTCGCTAAAGTTGATAAGATGTTCCAAGATAGCAGAAATGAATGTCTCTTGAAAGTAATGATTTGTGAAAAATATTATAATTATTATACAGGATTTATATGGCGGCAGAAGGTTTGCTCAGCGCTGTACATTATAGTGGGGGCAGTACATGAGACAATACAGTAACAATACAATACACGAGGGGTGCGAGGGCCCTGATCCTTGGAGCTTACAATCTAGGAGGGAGGGGATAGTGGTACAGGAGGAAGTGGCTGTGGGGGGATGGAGTGGTAGGAGGAGTGGAGGAGATCGGCTGTTAGGTGAGGGTGGGGTAGGCTTCCCTGAAGAGATGGGTTTTCAGGTTGCGCCTCAAGGTGAGGAGAGTAGGTGACAGTCTGATGGATTGGGGCAGTGAGTTCCAGAGGATGGGGGAAGTCCTGGAGAAGTCCTGCAGTCGGGGGTGTGGGAGGTGGAGACCAGGGAAACTAGAAAGTAGGAGGTCCTGTGAGGAGCAAAGATTACAGGTTGGATGGTATTTGGGTATCAGGTCGGTGAGGTAGTTTGGGGCGGCGTTATGAATGGCTTTGTATGTCAGTGTTAGTAGTTTGAATTTAATGCGTTGGGCAATCGGAAGCCAGTGGAGGGATTGCCAGAGGGGGGTGGAGGACACTGAATGGAGGCCAGTGGAGGGATTGGCAGAGAGGGGCGGAGGCCAGTGGAGGGATTGGCAGAGAGGGGTGGAGGACACTGAATGGAGGCCAGTGGAGGGATTGGTAGAGAGGGGTGGCGGACACTGAGTGGAGGCCAGTGGAGGGATTGGCAGAGGGGGGTGGCAGACACTGAGTGGAGGCCAGTGCAGGGATTGGCAGAGAGGGGTGGAGGACACTGAATGGAGGCCAGTGGAGGGATTGGCAGAGGGGGGGCAGACACTGAAGGGGAGGGTGACAGAGGGGGATGGAGGACACTGAAGCCATGGAGGGAATGACAGAGTGGAGGGACACTGAGTGGCAGTGGAGGGATTGGCAGAGGGGGGTGGAGGACACTGAGTGGAAGCCAGTGGAGGGGATGACAGAGGGGGGTGGAGGACACTGAGTGGAGGCCAGTGGAGGGATTGGCAGAGGGGGGTGGTGGACACTGAGTGGAGGCCAGTGGGGATTGGCCAGGGTGGAGGACACTGGGGATGCCAGTGGAGGGCAGACAGAGGGGGGTGGAGGACACTGAGTGGAGGCCAGTGGAGGGATTGGCAGAGAGGGGTGGAGGAAACTGAATGAAGGCCAGTGGAGGGATTGGCAGAGGGGGGTGGCGGATACAGAGCGGTTGGTGAGGTGGATTAGTCTCTGGGCCGCAGAGTTCAGGATAGACTGAAGCGGGGGACAGTCTGTGATGAGGTCGGCCGGAGAGGAGGGAGTTGCAGTAGTCCAGACGTGACATAATAAGGGAGTGTACGAATAGTTTAGTGGTGTCTGGGGTTAGGAACGAACGTATTTTGGAGATGTTGCGGAGGTGGAGCCTGCCTGAGTCTGCCAGCAATTGGACATGGGGTTGGAAGGACAGGTTTGAGTCTAGAGTGACACCCAGGACTTTGGCTTGCGGGGTGGGATTGCTGGTGGAGTTGTTGGTCGTGATGGAGGGGGGGGGGGGGGGGGGGTGGGGTCCGGGCTGGGGGGAAAATTAGGAGCTCGGGTTTTGGAAAGGTTCAATTTGAGGAAATGGAGCGACATCCAGTCTGATATGTCGTTCAGTAGGTGGGTGATACGGGCGGACACTGAAGGGGGTGAGGTGGGGGGTAGAGAGGTAGATTTTGTGTGTCGTCGGCGTAGAGGTGATAGTTGAAGCCGTGGAAGTGTATCAGTTTGCCGAGGGAGGAGGTGTAGATGGAGAAGAGAAGGGGCCCGAGGACAGAGCCTTGGGGGACCCCTACAGAGAGGGGAGTGAGGGGGAGGTGGTAGCGTTATAGGTAATGCTGAAGGAGCGTTGGGATAGATAGGAGGAGAACCAGGAGAGGGCGGAGTCTCTAAAGCCGAGGGAGTGGAGTTTATTAAGGAGGAGGGGATGGTGGACTGTGTGGAAGGCTGTGGAGAGGTCGAGGAGTAGGAGGACTGAGTAGCGGCCATTAGCTTTGGCGGTTAGCAGGTCATTAGTGAGTTTGAGGAGGGGCGGTTTCGGTGGAGTGTAGGGGATGGAAGCCGGACTGTAGGGGATCGAGGAGGTTGTTGTCAGTGAGGTGAGAGCTCAGGCGATTGTAGACTAAGCGCTCAAGGAGCTTGGAAGTAAATGGCAGCAGGGAGATGGGTCTAAGGTTGTTCAGGTCATCCAGGGAGGGTTTTTTGAGTATGGGAGTGATGTGCGCTTGCTTTAGGGGGGAGGGGAATGCGCAAATAGAGAGGGAGAGATTAAAGATGTGGGTGAGGGAGCGTAGGATGGAGGAGGAGGGTGACCGGAGGAGTTGTGAGGGGACAGGGTCAAGGGGAAAGTGTGAGGTGGGCTTCTGAGAAGACCTTAGTGACCTCCTCATTGGTGGCAAGGCTGAAGGAACGGAGTGTTGGGGAGGTTATAGTGTGCGGGACGTTAGGTGTGGTGGGGGGGCAGGGTGGTTGCGAGGTCAGAGGAGGGGAGAGTTGATGGGGTTATAGTGGGAGGGAGGCTAGGTGAGGAGGTAGATTGGGCATTGGCGATGTCCTTACGGATTGCGTCGATCTTGTTTTGGAAGTTATTGGCAATCTCGTGGGCGTGTGAGTGAGGTACTGGATGGAGGTGGGGGGGGGGGAGAGAGTAGGGAGTTGAAAGTGGAGAAGAGC